TCTTCCAATTCCCCAATAAAATCTTTAAAGAAAAAATAAAAAAATAAATACCTGAAAAGGTCTACTATTCAAAACACACAAAGAAGTCTTCAAGCTGATTGATGAAAAAACTGCCAACCTCATTAAAACATGGGCCAAAGCCCTAAACAGACACCACACTAGACAACAGATACAGAAGACAAAACGGTATGTAAAAAGATGCTCCACATCATGTCAGCAAGGAAATGCACATGAAAACAACCATGAGATTGAAACTCACAGCAAATGAAAAAATACCACACACCTATTAGGAGGGGCCAAAACCCAGAACGCTGGGATATCAACTGCTGGTGAGGAAGTGGAGCAGCAGGAATTCGCACGGACTCCCGGAGGGAACGCAAAATGCTGCAGCCCCTTGGGTACACAGTTTGGTGGTTCTTACACATCCTCCCACCATACAACCAAGCAATTGTGTTACTCAATAGTTACCCAAAGACTTGAAAACATGTATCCACCCAATAATCCACACATGCATGTTCACAGCAGCGTTATTCATAATTTCCAGAACTAGGAAGCAACCAAGATGTCTGTCAAGAGGTGAATGGATGAGTAAACTGAGGTGCACACAGACAATGGAATATTATTCAGTGCTATAGAGAAAGAAGCTATCAAGCCATGAGAAGACGTGGAGGAAACCTAGATGCCTATTAAGTGAAAGAAGCCAATCTGAAAAAGGCACATACTGTATGATTCCAGCTATGACATTCCAGAAAAGGCAAAATGATGTAGACAGTAAAAAGATCACTGCTGGCTGGGGTTGAGGGGAGGGAGAGATGGACAGGCGGAGCACAGAGAATATTCAGGGCTGTGACACTACTGTGTATGACACGTTATCATAAATGTGTCCACATCCACAGAATGCACAGCCCTTCACTGAACCCCAAGGAGAACTAGGAACTCTGGGTGACAATTATATGTCAATGTAGCTTCATCTATGTAACAAATGTACCTGTGTGGGTAGAAGGGACGTGGACAAGGGCAAGGCTGTGCATGTGGGAGAGGCATGTGGGAATCCTCAGAAACTTCTACTCCATTTTGCTATGAACTAAAAGTACTCTTAATATGAAAATTATCCTCAGGCTCCTGCTTCTCCTAAATATCTCAGGTCCACATGACTTTCCAGAAGTTTTACATGCTCTCACGAGAACATAAATGTCTCCATCCGCAGTTAAAAAAACACACAGTACCACCACACATCAACTAGGATGAGCAGTATCAAAGAAACACAAAATATCAAGTGTTGGAAAAAATGTGGAAAAATTGTACCCTTATGCTCTCTTGGAAGAAATCCCAATTTGTGCAAACAGTATGAAAAACAATATGAAGGTCTCTCAAAAACTAAAATATAGAATTGTGCTATGATGCAGCCTTCCCACTTCTGGGTACATTTCCAAGAGACTTCAAAGGAGGCTCTGCAAGAGCCATGTGCACACCCATTCACACTATAGCACTATCCACAAAGCCTGTAATAGGATGAAGCAACCCAAATGGCCATCGATAGATGAATGGTCGAAGAAAGTGGTCAACGAAAATGTAGCATATACATACAACGGAATATTATTTGGCCTTGAAATAGAAACAGGTGCTCTCACCTGATACAACACAGAAAAACCTTGAGGACTTTTAGGTAAAGCTAAAGAGTCAGAAAACAGATACTATATGAGTCCACTTCTGTGAATCGCCTAATGCAGTCCTCCTCATAGAACAGAAGAAGAGCAGTAGCCATGGGCTTGTGTTGAAGGGAAATGAAGAAGTGGTTGTTTAATGAATACTCGGTGAGTTTTCAAGATTGAAATTTCCAGAGGTCAGTTGCCAACAATGTAAATATCCTTAACACAGGTGGACTGGAAAGTTAGAGAGGGTAGAATTCTAGTCACGTTTTTACCAAAATTGAAAATGAAAAATAATATCTAAAAAACATACTGTTGCCTTACAGCTTCATCCTCGACCGAGCCCCCACATCAACCCCTGACCTAATGAGGTCACGAGGGAGTGTCTCGGAACGCTGAGACCCGGCGGGATGATGTCAGTTATCTCCCTTACTTCATGGCTGTGGCAACAGCTGCACTATCCTGGGGGTTGTGTGTGTGGGAGTATGAAGGCACAGCATGTGTTGGAATACAATGGGGCTGTTTGATGGAAACTAGCCTTTAGGCACTTATCACACGGACTTTAGAAAGGAAGTTCCTCTTCTTTGAAGTTTCTTAATAAAAGCTACGCGTTGGCCCGATTCGGGCCTCATTTCCAGAGCGAGAACTGAAGTCCCCTGGCCTCGCCTTAACTCTATCCTTGTCTCTTCTGTTTCTTTAATCCTGCGCCGCCCCTCTGACTCCCCACTGCCCGTGCTGCGTGGGACACGGCAACATACAGTTATAAAACATTTCAGAAATTATTTTGAATCCAAAAAGTGGTTGTCTCACAAAGAGAATATGAAATCATCTCTAAACACATGTTATATTAAGACTATTACCACAACTACTTAACTGCAAAGGACAAGAAATGTACTCACCACTAATAAAAGACATAAACAAGATGAGTCATGCACAAAGTTGAACTAAAATGATACTAATATGCACAGAAATTTTTTTTTTTTCCCCACTGCCACAGGGGCTGCAGCCTATGCTGTTGCCGGCGACTCACAGCAGCCCAGCCCCAGGTCGAGCTGTTGTTCAGCATCTTAGCTGTGGAGGGCAGTGTCACTGGCCCTCATATGTGGGATCTGAACCGGGGCCCTCTGGCATCCCAAGCCAGTTCTTAACCATCGCGCCACTCGACCGGCCCCTGCACAGAATTTTAATGCCAATAAACATACGCCTCATTCTTATGTGAATCAAACTTCACATTGTCTTAAGTGTACTTAGCTGAAAACTGTCATTCACTTTCATATATACAAGGAACAACTAAAAATGCAAGTAACTACATTTGGAGAAACTACCATAAAAAAGAAAACACATTATTATGGAATTGCAAAATGAGAATAAGTGGCAATGTATCCCCAGAATGCTGAACACTACACAGATGTACTATTGAAGATCCTTCTGTAGAACTCGGTTTCCACCGTCAGTGTGGCCCCGTAAAGAGCAAGCATTCTCAATCATCGGAATACGTGTTGTAGGAAAGGAAAACTTCCCAGACAATGCATTAGAATCATCCATAAATAGCTTTAAGGAATATTTCAATAAATAGCCATTTAAAACACACGGAAGAAATTTGTTATTAATATATTTTGCTATTCTAACACAAATGTATGGGCTGTAATCATCATCCAGAGAGAAAAAAAAAACCTTCGTTGATAAACAAAAGTACAAGGAAGTTATTAAACATCAGAGAATCAGCTATGTATAAAATCAACGTTTGAGATTAAAGTACAACATGATTGAGAGACATGCTGATGAACCTCATGATTAATTTTTGCCTGAAGTAAACTGAACTGGGGACCTAAATAGTTTCCAAAATATGGGAACCTAATAATTCTACAACTCTCTCCTTACCAACAGATTTCATTCAAGCAGGGAGTATCAGCACTTCTGAATCTAAAACCACTACTCTGACAAAATTGAATCAGAAATGGAAAACAAAAAAGGCCCAGACGGCTTTGGACTGAACAAGAGAATTATAACACGATAGTCACTAAGAAATCAGGGAACAATGGAGAACTTCCTACACGGTGGGCAGTATTCTAAACTCCCCTATGGCATTAATTTATTTAAGAATTCTGTGAGGTAAACAGATATATTAAACTTATTTTTTTTTCCATGCGGGAGTCAAACCGGCAACCTTGCAGTTAAGAGCGCAAGCTCTATCCACTGAGCCATCCAGGGTGTGGAATTCAGTCCCAGCCGCAGGTGGGTGCAGCTCATCATCTATCAGGCAATCTTGTCATTAGGAGCATGTGCTCTCACCAGCTGAGCCATCCTGCCACCTGTTGGCAGCTAAGTGGCAGCTTAGCTTGGGCACAGCTCTGGCGAAGCTCACTGGCCCATGTGGGAAACGAACCAGTGACCCTGTTGCTCAGAGCTCGTGCTCTTAAGCAAACTCTTAACCAAGTGAGCCACTCGGGGGGCCCTAAACTATTCTTACATGCAGGAATTGGGAATAGACACTCAACATTTTCCAAGTTAGTTCATACAAAGCAAAAGGACATTTCGGAGTGAAACTGAGATTGAGGGTTTCTGACTTTAGGACGGTGCCTGGTGCTGAGATGAAATTACTGAGTCTGAACTTTGTAGGGTCATGTTTGAAGCCTCCTTAGAATTAGAAATTATAAAGCAGAAAATGTGTGACATCTGTCCCCAGTGCCCCTGGCATTTCTGCTCCAAATTCCAGGACTTCCACCACTTCCTTCACAAACTCCTTACAGAAGCAAGACCAGAACTTTAAAACTGGCCTCAGGGAGAATTCCTCAGCAGCAGCACAGATTTGCCCTCGCCTCTGAGACAATGGAACAGTAGCCAGCCCATGGCAGCCCCCACAGTTCAGAGGGACATCCGCCTTCACTGCGATGCAACCCAGGTCATTCAGCAGGAGTTTTCTACAGGATGTGACAGCACAAGACGTATTGGACACGACTGTCTCTCTGTGACAGCAACAGGAAGAAACCTGGACTTCTCACATTCTTTCCACTGAAGCAGAGCTTCCGAAACCACATCTTAAAGTCTGGCTTCCTCGGGGACCTTTGACCCTCTCACCTGTGCCATCTGCTCCTTCATTCCCACCTACCTGGGAGGATGGATACTGTCTTTTTTTGCTTCACATCCCAGGCCTCCTTCATTCTCTCCAAAAAGATAACCAGGTCTGGCTTAGAGACAGTAAGATCTGTTTGTTCGTAAAAGAAACATAAGTTTAGATGGAGTTTCTCCAATTTCCAATCCAGTATGTGCTCAGGTGAAAGGAAAAGACATTGCAGAATATTAGAATATTCTAGAAAGGGATTCCCCCAACACAGTTATCTGACAGCACCTTTACTCTACTAGACAACATGGAACGTTTTCAGATCCTGAGTTCCACTTCAAGGACATCATGAAGACTTCTTTTCTACACCAGTGAACCCCCAGGTGGTACTCAGAGCCAGGATCTGAAACTCTATCACACAGAGCAGAAGCTCCCAGGAGACGCTGTACTGATGAAGGAAACACACCCCTGCGGTGGGGTAGGAGTTCTGGAAGGAAGTCAGCCTCACCCAGGAAGTGCAGGTTCCTGTAGTTCTCCAGCATCACGTCCATGTACAGCTTCCGCTCAGCCGGGTGCAGGCACTCCCACTCCTCCTGAGAGAAATCTATGGCCACATCCCTGAATGTCAACCGTCCCTGAAACAAAAGACACATTTACCACGTGGTCACAGACAAGGTCATAACATGACTCAGTATGAAAACAGTTAAGAGAACTGGTTTTGACCTAGGAGAGAGTCCGGAATGGAACACTAAGGCCACTGACAGTTAATATTATCCAGTGAGTTTTCAAACTCTAAGAAAGGAGGATGACGTATGATCCACACACCACTGTAGAGACATGCATCTTTTTTCCTAAATGATAAGATTTAAAATCAGGCAAAAACACAGGCATACAGCTTTTTGCGTGTTATATTTGTATCATACAGAATACATTATGTACATTTCTTGGCTGGAAATGTCATGGTGAATTAAAAATGCAAAGTACTTTTCAAATTTTCATGTGGATAACAAGGAACTACACTGTTATAAAACTGCGGATTCCGACTGAAGAGTTCTGGGGTGGGGCCTGAGTTTCCACATTTAACAAAATCACTTTTAACTAGTGACACCAATATCTCTGGTCGTGAGTAACACTGTTCCATTGTAGAAAGGAAGGAAACAGGCAAAAATTCACACATGACTTTGAACTGACAGTTTTATGGAATTTAACACTTCTCACACAAACACAGCAACACAAACCTTTTTGAAATGACTGTATATTACAGTGTTCTAACTTTTTTTACATATTCATAATGCACACACTCTTGTAATGCACATAACCCATAAACTGAAAACAATATCATACGTTCTCTTGTATGGGAATATTTTCTGATGCATCCACTAAACGGTAGAGCTTGGGTTTTTCTTTTTTTAAAGATTTTATTGGGGAATTGGGGGAGGGGAACAGCACTGGGGAATCAGGGAAGGGGAACAGACAAGTCGCTGTCCTTTTGTTCTTCAGTCTAGCTGTGGAGGACATCGCTTCACTGGCTCATGTTGGTATTATCATTGCGCTCTTCCTGGGTGAGGCAGATCTGTGGCCGGCCATTGGACAGCCACTCACGGTGGCTCTTGGCAGCTCACACCAGCTGCCAGCCACTCACGGTAGCTTATGGCAGCCCACTGCAGCTTCACTGCAGCCTACGTCGTTGCCAGTGACTCACGGCAGCCCAGCTCCAGGTAGAACTGTTGTTCACCATCTTAGCTGTAAAGGGTGTGGCGTCACTGGCCCTCATGTGGGATCCGAACCGGGGCCCTGCTGCTCAGAGCTGGCGTCCCAATCCAACTCTTAACCAACTCGCCACTCGGCTGGCCCAAGCTTGGGTTTTATTCCAAACTTTCTCTAGAATGTTACAAAAATGACAGAAACCAATACGCATAGACAACGCTCATGAATCTACATGGCCATTCCTGTAACTGAGAAAAAGAGAATCAACTTAAGCAAGTAAGAACAGATTAAATAGTGTGAAGATTTTATTGACACAGATGGACGGACATATGGAAACTGTGTGCATATTAAAAATGACAGAGAAGGAATTTTCATGTCACTGAAATAACAATTATTTTCAATTCTGTACATCTCATAAATGTCATCTGGATGATACTCTGTATTTTATAAATACAATAGGGAGAAGACCACACAGTAACATAAGTTATTGCTGCTGTTTCTTTGAAAAAATTTGCGTGTCATTTGTCCTGATGAATACATTACAAATTTACCACACTTCAAAACTTTAATAACATGATTGCTGTAAACATTCTTAAAAACACAAACAGTGATGATGTAGAGAATGTCTGTGACATGAGTGTTGAATATAATGAAAATTTATAGGAACAAGGCCTTACTCATTAAAGCCTCCACGCCAAAAGCCAATTCTCTCTAGTACAGAAAGCTGAAGGCATTTATCTATCAAAGCAGAGAAACTAAAGAAGAAAAGGGAGTTTCCAGGTGAAATGTGACGGATTTTGCACATCTTTCTACAAATCCCTGCAGACTGTTATTAATGATAAAGAAAACAATGTTAACTTTATAGTGAAGACAGGACCTCAACCAGGTGAAAATCAGGTGGAACAAATGGGTATCAGCTGGCCAAGGCACACGGAAGGACACAGTGTAACTGCTGTCATGTTACTGGAAAAAATGAAGAACTAAGGAAATCATAATCTGAATCTGATCATAAAAATATTAGTTTTATACAAATTTGAATGCACATATAGTTCCTGTGTTCTGTAACTCTCATAGGGCATTTAAACAGCAAGTCAATATCACCAATCTAGTGAGCAAGACAGTTCCAATAATTCTTTTTTTTTTTCCTAACATTCCAAGCCATTCTGAGCAGAGGCCATCCTGGGTCCTGGTGCACATTCTTACCCCTGTTCTACAGCCATGACGCTGTAGTCACAGGACACACACCTACACCTCCCTTCTTCAGGACACCAGGCATCCAACCCTGCCCAATAGGGACCTTGGACACAACCCTCTTTCCAGGTGGATTTTGTCATTAGTTTAGGGTCAGTCATCACGGTGAGATTCCTCACGTCCTGAGGTAGCGGATGGACAGAATGCAGAGAAGGCTCTGGGAAAAAGGCAGAGTGTTCTGCAGAGCTGATCTTGACTCTCATGAGAAGAAAAGGAAAAGTAAGTAGGTGAAATCGATCTCGCTAGGCAGGAATGTCAGAAGTAGAGAATTAAAGGTGGCAGATTCTAAACCCACAGATTTTAGGAGGAAAAGGAGACACAGCCTGTGATTCAGACAGAACGTTTACCTGAGAAGCAGCCATTCCGTCCTCGTCCTCAACCTGCTTTGCGTTGTTTCCTCAGGTGACGTTCTGGGGAGAAATCACATCTGCATCTTGAGAATGTGCCCACTGGGGCCGGCCGAGTGGCTCAGTTGGTTAAGAGCTCACTCAGGAGAATGTGCCCACAAGGGCTTCAGCTCAGGCCCTTCATCTGCTTCCTCCAAACTGACAGGCAGAAGGACCTTGAAATGCTGAGAAGGTTGCCCTTTTCTGACCTTAGTCACTGGACACAGTCAGGGACAAGAAGCTCCTAAGTGAAGACAGAACTGTCAGTTTTCTCTTTCCTAATTCACATGCTCTCGCCTTCCACAGACGTCCACAAATTCCTACATAAATGAGAACATGGGATGCTCTCCTGCCCCCCACAAATGCAACAGAGCACCCCGTTACCTCCCCATGAGCAAAGGTTTCTCTCAGCAGTCAGAACTGTGTCTAGGAGCCCCCAGCTAACCCCTGGCCTCAGCTGAGAGTCACCTGAACACCTCACTTAAACAACAATGATGCTCCACCCAGATCAATTATCCAACTCCCAGGGGGAGGGCACAGGTGACATCACTCTTTGAAACTCCCAAGTGACCTAGAAGGAACCCTGATGGGAACCATTTAGCTTCAATGAGCATGCAGGTCTCTGGGGGATCAGGGCCCACTCTAAGGAGTTATGGTTCTACAGGGGGCCCAGGAAGTGACATCTTTAATCTCCCTGGGGCAGCTGACCTGCTCCCCAGACCTGTTTCCTATCACACTGGGCTACAGATCTCAGACTCCATCTCAGACTCTGCACTCGAGAGAGCTCTGCTCTGGGGAGTGTGGGGGTTTGGCGTGGGAACTTCTAGAAGGGCTGGCTCCCCGGGTGTATTTCCTTCCTGTTTTCCAGGAAATCACAGAGAATTAGTTAAACACCATAAAACAATACACACACATTTTGGTGCTGAAAACTTGCAAAAAGAGTTAGCTATGGAAATACACTGATACAATTATTTCACAGAGAATAGACTGGCTCTGTGGGAACTGAGTTTGAGGTCTGTCCGGTCTATCCTTCCACATTTACAGAGAATGAACAAGTGGGATTTGAGGGGACATCTACTTGGTAGCTCCCAGCTCACTAAGTTAACAAATCATGAGGACAAAAGCTGCTGAATATCTAAATAACTCACCACACTAGGTTCTCAAGCGGACATCCTCACCAAATGCACGCTGAAGTAGCCTAATATTATTAATAAGTACCAATGGATGTTCAACATGATAAAGAGTAGAAAGAATGCAGGGCCTCTCATCTAAACTAGACACAATGTTATTAGAAGAGAAATCGATTCAAGATGTTATTTACTGTAATTATTTCTAGGGTCACAATTTTTTAAAAATTGAAACTACCTGATATTTAGAAAAGAATAAGAGCTGGTAATAAGATGTCACCAAAGCTTATTTCAGAAGTTAATGATGTTACAAAAAAAGCAGATATTCAGCAGACTAAGATTTATCTTGATTTGCTTTTTATAAACAATGAATCAGGGCTGGCCCAATGGCTTTGTGAGTTAATAGTTTGGTTAAGAGCGTGAGCTCTGAGCAACAGGGTTGCTGGTTTGATTCCCACACAGGCCAGTGAGCTGTGCCCAAGCTGAGCTACCGCTGAGCTGCCAACAGGTGGCAGGATCGCTCAGCTGGTGAGAGCACGAGCTCCTAACAACAAGACTGCCTGTTCGAGACGGTGGGCTATGCCTGCCCGCAACTAAGACGGAACTTGGCACCTTGAGCTGAGCTGCCGCGCACATGGCTCAGTGGATAGAGCGCCTGCTCTTAACAACAAGGCTGCTGGGTAGACTCCAGCATGGGATGGTGGCTATGCCCACCCACAACTAAGATTGAACACAGAACCTTGAGCTGAAAGGGCACACATTGCCATCAGGAACCAGATGACAATTGGCACCCTCAACAACTAAGACTGAAGAACAACTTGGCTGGTCCCCTTCCCCAATTCCCCAACACTGCTCCCATCCTCCAATTAAAAATAAATAAATAAATAAACAAACAAACAAATAAATAAATAAAAACAATGAATCAAATGTAAAAGAGGTACAAAAAAAAAGTAAACTCCATGTATAAGAAAAAGAGACACAATAGTTTTACTATTTCTTGAGAAAGCATCCTGTGGTGACAGACTCAGTCATTTCTTGTCCCAGGTCACATCCCTCATGCCATCCCAGGAAAAAAGAAGGGACCCAGACGGACTGACACAGGTCTCTGTCCTCTGGCTGCATGAGGGTTGCACATGGAAGCCATCCGGTGATGAAATTAAGCGCACAAGCACTAGAAACTGGAGTTTTGTAATTCTCACTCTCATCTCTGTGAGTGAAAGTGCAGCACGTATTAAATTAAAGCGATTATAAAGCCACCATCAATATATCATGACTTGATCACTCACATCCCACCAGCTCACAGAGCATCCAGGTAGGGGCACCCCTTCTTCCTCTGTTACTGTGTACTCCTGTGTGTCCCTCTCCACACAGTTCTCTCCATTAATGTCCTCTCCGCTTCCCCGATTTCTCCCCTTCCCTCCGTTCCCTTCCCTGCACCTTTTCTGTGAAACTCTTGAAAGCCTTCACCTTCAGTTGCTCTTTCTCCCTGATCTGTCTGATTGCTCCCCATCTCCACGTATTTCTGCCTCTTTCTCCCCGTCCCTGTGCACCTCCTCTTCCCCGGTGACACTGCCTTTCCTCTTACACCCCTGTGCCCCGACTCACTGACACCCCCAGCTTAGCTCAGTGCGGCTTCTCCCTCTGCTGTCACCCCCCCTCCCCTCCTTTCTGTTCCTGCACTCGGCTCCCCCAGCTCTTCTAACCCCTCTCTCCGTCTGAAATTCCCTGTCCTTTGTTGCCCCCCAGTTCTGCTAACCAGGGGCCCCTCACCCATTTGACTTCTCTTCATCTCTGGAGCTCCTCCCTTTCCTCTATATTTCTCCATTTTCTTTCTCCTCTGGCTAATTCCCCGAGTTACTCGCTCGGTCTTACCGTCGCTTTACAAGTCCCTCCCACATCCTCTGTTTTCCCGCCTCTTTACGGACCCCGCGCTGATCTTCCTGTCTTCTCACCTGGCTTTTCCTCTCATTCTGTCTCCTCCTCGGGATCTCCTCGCACCCCCATTATGCCGATTTCCTGGCCTGCCCTTCACAGTCACCGCTTACACAAAGACCCTCCCCGCGTGAGGGGTGACCTGGTGACACCCTGTGGTGTTCCCTCCTAAGTCCCACCCCCCTGAAAAGTGTGCTCTTCCTGAGATTCGGGCCTCTTATTAAACCGGGACGACGGGGGTCTCCAGGCCGCGGGGAGGGTCTGCAGAGCCCCAGGCAGGGAGGAGGCCGGGCTCCAGGGGCCGCGGGGCGAGGCTGGGGGAGGGGCGCCAACGGCTGGACTCCGTCTTCCAGGACTTCACACCACGCGGCGGAGCGCTGCCCGGTGGGGGGTTTTAAGCAGGAAAACAAAGCGGCAGGCGGGGTCTAGTGGCCCGAAGGCGGAGAGACCACAGGGGAACGGCCTCAGTTTACCCGGAAACCCACGCGGACCCTCCACCCGGCAGCGAAGCGGCCTGGGATCGGGACGTCTCCCCAGGACGCCGGACTCACCGCTGTAGGGGGCGCGGGTGCGGGGACTTCACCGTGGTACTGACCCCCAGGCGTCAGGAGTGTAGAGCGGTGGACTGAGGCGCTCAGGTTTAAACCACAAACACTGAGAGTCACGGTCGCCAACCACACCCTCTCTCTGCCTTGGCCGCTTCCCGATCTGCAAGAAACTCCGCCCCGACGCTTCCAGAAAACGTGGGCCGCAGGCGCGGCCTGTGAGGAGCGCTAAGGTCCTGGGCGGGGCTGAAACATTTGCCAGGAGTGGGCGGGGCCCGCGGGAGGGAGGGAGGGACCTAGGGGAAGGGGTGGGGCCACAGCTTGGACGGGGCGGGGCTCTCCTCTGCCTTGGTCTTATTGGTTACTGACTATTGTTGTTCATTACCTTTATTTTAGGTAAGATATTTCGCACCCACTTTATATTTTTAAGATTTCTCTTACATGTATATTTATTGATGTTTAGTAATGCTTTACTCTTGGTTTAATATGTAGCCCAGTTCATTATATTTTAAGATCTCTCCGGTATGGATATCTGATGGTTAGTGAAGATTTATGCGGCATAAAGACCTTACAAGTTCACTGTATTTGTAAAGCTTTTCTCAAATATGTATAACTTGATATATGGTTATTAATGAAGAATGGATCAAAACTTTCCCATCTTTATTGTAAATGTCGTTTTTGATACTAGCAAGAATTCTTTCCCGTTGTGAAAACTGGAACCTTTTTGATAGATTTAACTTGATTATACTTATAATATGCACCCTCAGTTTTAATCTCTATGGTGTACCTTGATAATTAAAAGTTTGATACAATATTTTCATCAAATCATTTCATAAATTTGCTTCTTGAACATGGTTTAAAAAAACCAGTATGTTCAGAATAGATTTTGGGATCTTTTGAAGATAGATTATGGACATTATATGGTATTATGGAATATTGTGCCAACCAGCCATGTTGGAATGAAACAGATTTCAACTTGGACTCCCATGTTCTCAAGCAAATAAATTCAGGGCTGGTGATCTCTTCATCAAACTCAGAATCATTGAAACAAAGTCTATCATAAAAGTGAAAGTCAAGAATTCATCTTCTTTATGGGGCGTTTTGGTGCTTGTAAAATTTACTAGAAAGGAAAATGAACATATTCACAGAAAGAAAAAGGATTTTTTCAATCAATGCAAAAATTTGTCATATGTCTCCCTGTAAAATCATTATAAAACAGATTGAAAATTTTCATTATTAAAGTGTCAAAATTATTGAAGACTTCAAAAATTTGAACAACACAGGAACTAGTTTGACCTGGTGAATTAACGTCTTTGTCACAAATACAGAAACTTTGCAGTTTTAAACACACATAAAATGCATAATATTTACTACTATAAAA